TGCGTGTCTTAAAGGCTGAAGAGTAGATGGCAAGGTCCTGGTTCAGCTTCACGGTTTAAGAGTTCAGGATTTATGATTTAGGGTTAAAGGGTAAGAATTCAGGATTTATGATTTAGGGTTAAAGGGTTTAGCTTCACGGTTTAAGAGTTCAGGATTTATGATTTAGGGTTAAAGGGTTGGGGTTTTTTTTAAGGGTCCGGGGTGAGGAGTTCAGGGTTTAAAACACATGGGAGACCTGGGTATAGGGCAGGCTGTAGCGTTTAGGAGTTCGGTCCAGTGCCTCGTGAGGTAAGAGTTTGGAAGTAAGTAGCGCGTTCAGGGTTTAGTACGAAATAGTTCAGGGTTTAGTATGAATTAGTTCAGGGTTTATGGTTTATGTGGTTGAGATTTAAGGCTTGGGTTGGCAAGCGCAGGAAATGAAACCGGAAGTTTCAAGCTTTCGCGTTTCGAAGTTTTAGGGTTTAGGTGATTCGGCTTTGGGCGCTGAGGGCTGGATGGCGCACTGACCCTAAACCCTTAATATAGGATGATCTAGGGGCCTTAACAATTAGAATAGGGTTTTGGGGCCCACTATACGATAGTTATAATAAGGAACCCCCGAATAGTATAGGTAATTGCTAAGGCCCCTACATTAACCGTACTCAAACCTCAAACACTCCGCGTCTGAGTCAAAAAGCAATCCCGCAGACTTGTTGCCAGCAGCACAACACTGACAACGACGACGGAGCGCCAACGACCTAAACCCTAAAGCCGAAAAGGGGGGCTCGGGGCTGAAACAAAATATCGGCCTACCCTAACCCGAATCTAAACCCTAAACTCTAAACCCTAAACCACAAATACTAAGAGCCTCATCCTGACCCTTTCTCTATGATTCGGTATTAATATGGGAGCCCCAAAAGAAAGAGCGCAAATGGGAAGAGTTTATGGCTGAAAGCTTCGATTCTGGTTGGTGGCTGGCTGCTTAGGGCTCCGGGTGTAAGTCCCGAAGTAATCTAGCGGCCTTAATAATCAGAATAAGGTTTTGGGACCCATTAAATTATACTACAAACAAATAAGGAGCCCCCAAAACAGTATAGGTAACTATTTAGGCCCCTATAGTACGTCCTGCCTATCGGAACCCGGCTTGCGCTTCATTCTTCTGGCTCAGAGCTTTCAATATCGTCTCCCAAGCGGACCCTATGTACTGTTATGGGGGATACTTTCCCAGATCATAATAGTAATTTCCTAACATAGAAACCCTACACTCGACGATAGCGGTACTTTGGACCCTTTGGGTCTGCAAGAAGCTGGGACGTAAAGGCCAAGCAACATTTGCTATAGCTGCACCACCGACACTGGGAGACAGAAGAACGCTAACCACAAACGCATAGTGCCCCCACAAGAGCCCTTAAAGGAGCACTTCATATAGGGGCCTACATAATTACCCATTTTTAGGTATAGTAATAATATACCCCAAAGCCCTACTCTTCTAATCATTGAGGCCCCTATGTCAGCCCAACCCAAGAGGAAACCCTGACGGAACCCTAAGCCCTAAACCCTCAGGGAGCCCTTAATTTTGGGGTCCTTGGGGCCCTTACAGGAGCCCTGGATCTTTCCCCAAGGATCCATCTTCCCAAATAGTCTGTGCTCTGGCCTTCAAGTACATAGTTTGCATCTTACGGTGTAGGGTTTAGGGTTTAGGGTTTAGGGCACTTTAGGTCCAAACTAAATTCTAAATGCTGTTGAGGTTGTGGAAACCTAATCAGAGGAGCCCAGAAGGTGGAATCCACGAGGGCGACCCTCCTTGCCCTTGCCGCATGTACGCCAGTAGACGCCTTGAACACACTTTGTCAAGGGCTACTACGGTTTAGGTTTATGGCTTAGGCCTGCGGGCTTAAGGTTTAAGTTTTAGGGCTGGGGGCTTCAATTTTCGCACCTAGAGTGTAGACTTTGGGAGTCGGGGCTCAAGGTTTAGGGTTTCGAATTTAGGGGTTTGGGAGCCTGCCAACCAAGATCCTAAAGCTCTTTCTTGTGGGTGCTTTCTGTTGGGCTTTAACATTCGGAACTGTTGAACTTCAGCACTGATTACACCCTACCCTCTGCCCAAAACCCGCCGGTTTAAGGGTTTAGGGCTTAGGGTTTAGGGTTTAGGGTTTAGGGTTTAGGGTTTAGGGTTTAGGGTTTAGGGTTTAGGGTCACTCTAACCTCTAGTACTTTCACGTAAACTCTAAACCCTATTCACGGAAGGGCCTTGGACACCATGAGCTTCGGACTTTCCCCGAAAAATCCCGCCCAGGAATTTTCGAAATTAGGGATTCGGGTTTCGGAGTTTCGTCCGAGTCTGGCATCACTAAACTCAATACGCCCTGAACCCTAAACACAAAACCCAAAACCCAAAACCCCTAAACCCAAAACCCCGGAACCCGAAAGCCCCTCCACAACAAGCCCGACAACCCAAGAAAGACCTGACACTCCAAGCAGAGTGCGAAGCGATGAGTGATCCGAAGCTCAAACATTCAATATCGCCTGAATCATAACAAGTACGATGCCAGAATACCCTCAAAAGCCCCCTGTTCTAATGCCACATGCAACCCAAACTGGCACTCTGGCAGCCTTTGGGTGGATGTTGGGTATATCGCGACTGCAGGCTACTATCACTTCTTCCGAGCCTGCATAAGAGACAAAATGTGACTTTCCAAAAATAGGAGGTACCTTATTTTTGGGGTCCTTATAATAAGGATCCTATTATTTAGGGTACTATATTAGGGTCCCCTATTTTCGGAAACCCCCAAATCCCTCAAGTCCTAGGCTCTGGCACCATAGCCTGAAAGCGACTCGCTAAGCCTACAAACATCAGCCCTAAGTCCTAAACCCTAGTGCCTAAATCCTAGAGCCTCGACCCTAAACCATAAACCCCTAAAC